GGCTGGCGCGATCACGCCCCGGCCCTCGCTCGGGGTAACAATCCCCGCGGCTGGGACGCACTGGGGGCTGCAGACCCCGGAGCCACGCGGGTCATTCTTGGCCGGGTTGTCAGGGCAAAAAGGGGACGCGGAAGTTCTTTCGGGTTAGCACTGAAGGGAAACGCTCTGAATCGGCCTCTCTCCATTGACCCCGAGGCAGAGGGCGCCCGGGCACCTTCTTGCCCCGATGCGCCCTTGCTCCTTGCTCGACCTCTCGACCTCACTGGTGTCCTTGCGCCATTTCTCTTCCCCACTTTTCCCGGTTCACTGCTCCTCAGCAAAGGGACAGCAAAGGGGCTCTCATTTGACCTTGAATTTACCTTGCCAGGATCCTTTCGGGTCCAGTGTTCCTGAGGCTTTCAAACTTTGGACCCAGACTCATTCTGAGAACTAGCTTACACAACGACCTTGACTGTACACATTTACGTATGCAGTACAGTTTCCTATGTCAATACACTTCTACGTGCGTACCCATTTACTTATACAGTACAGTTTCCTATGTCAATACACTTCTATGTTTACATACATTGTTCTTTTCAAAACAATATCCTTTCATGTAGATGCACTCCGTTTTTTCTTTTACTCTATTGCATATGTCTTTTTAAAAAGGCTGGTTGAAAAGCACTGCATTGATTTTGTAAGCCATGCCCCTTTCTGCAATTTCTCAGTGTTCTGTGCCTCCACACCCCCATACTCTACACCAACTCTCTGTTTATAATTTTACCACACTTACCGTTACCACACTTAGCGGTGAAGCAGATTTCCCTGTACTGTCTAGAAATGGATCCTGGAGTTCCAGAGGAGGCCTGCTTATGGAGATGGCGAACTTGATAAAGTCACTTGGTTTAAGACAGCAGGGCAGATGAAGGGCTACTCGTGATTTTCCTGAAAGAAGAAAAGACACAGGCATACCAGCAAGTTTCAAGGAATTAGACTAACCTGCCTGTACATATCCCGAAAAGTGTGACTTGAAAGATGAAGACAAGGATTTCCCGGAAGCTATAATGTGGGGGAAAAAAAAGTTACCAAACTGCAACATTGATCCATGGCAAGTGTTGACTGTTTTGCCACTGTCACACACTTTTGACTCAGATTCCAGATTCCGACAGCAAATTATTTGTTTGCTGATAGTGGGATCAGAATTCAGACATTGCAGAATAAGGAGGGCTAGATGTACTTGAAAGCTTAAGTTCCCACGATTGTCTATTCACAACCTCATGCCTTCAACAAAACAAAACTGAAGGGCCCATGTATTAATGCTTCCAACAGTCACACCCCCCTCAGCTTTTTCTTACCCATCAGGGAAGGTCAACAAGAAGGGTCTAATTCTTTTGGAATACTCCCATGTGTCTGCCTTATCTGCCCTTTGTCATTTCTTCAAGCCTCAGCTGCAGCCTGAAATCTCAAATCTATGTGAATGTAAAAATCATTGTCTAACAGGCATTCTGGTGCCACTGTTCCTATCGCCTTTGACACCAAGTTGGAAGTACCAGTGGCACACCGGAGATCAAGAGCACATAAAGGATCTGTTCAGACCAGCCAGCTTTCTGTGGAAACAGCCTAGAACTGATGTCTCAGGCTATCAAGCCAAGTGCCCGTTTACAACAGCCTGAGGAAACAGAAACTGGAAAATGAGGAAGGAAATTGAATAAAAAGGAATATCTCCATATGATGCCCTGCTACCTGTCCCAGATCTGAAGGCAAAGCAGTGGTAAAAACACTGGTCTGAAAACTAAGAACCTTGGTCTTTATCTTGGCCTGGCTGTTCAAACTTCATTTTCCTGACCCTGACTAAGGTGTTTCCTTCCATAGCTTCCTTTTGCTTATTTGTGAAATAGGAAAAATGTCACAGACTGGATGGGTTAATGTTAGACTTAAATGATATTAATGCCTGTGAAAGCAGTCTCCAAGCAGCTTGGTTTATCCTGAAAGGCAAGATGCAGTCTCACCGGTAAGCCTGTTTCTGACAAAGAAGCCCACAGGTGAGGACCAAGGTCATGCAAATGAGTTAAGTAGCTCTAGTTACCTAAAGCTCACTGGGAAGATTGCTGGCTGGTTGAGCAAGACTCAAGGTTAAGGTTAACTGCCTCTGGAAATTCTTTAGGTGTTCCACTTATCCCTCCTCTGGTTTTTCCTGTTCCTGTGAATATACACAGTTTATATACACAAAAAGACATTTCCCTAGAGAATTTTTTTTCATCTAGTAATACTTCTTGGTGGTCACTTATTTGCCTGGCTTATTTTTTTCTAGCCTTAGCCTACTTGCAAAACTGGTCTTTCCTTAATCTTTCCTTGCTATTCTAATGATTACTTCTATAACGACTTAGATGTGGGAAGTCTGTGCTGGGAAGGACTACAATAAATACAGGCGCTCTTACTTGATGGAACTGGGATGGTGTGGGCGGATACATTAAGTGTTTTGCCTAAAGTAGCTGAGGAAATTGAAAAAAAAAATGTCCAAATTAGGAGCATCCCCCCCCAAAAAAGCTTAAGAATCCATTCATATGCATGTTAATTCAGATGTGTGTAACCATCTGAAATGATGTATCACCTTAAGCAGTTTTAATAGTTAGGATAGGCAGTGATTCTCAAACTTTTCCAATATCAAAGCAGCCTAGATTTTGTCGTGATAATTATAAAAAAAAAAAAAGCCTAGGGCCTTGGTATTCTTTTATAAAGGGCTTAGTGAATTAAGGAATCAACCAGTCAATGTGATTGGTGGCTCCTAATGAGTTAGGGCTTCTGGTTATAAGGCCCTGTGTTGTATCTGCCCACATTAAAAAAAAAAATGAAGTTACAGTGTAGACTTTACTGCTTGGATACATAATAAAAGTATACAACTGTCACAAGTAGAGCAATAGGTACAAAGTCTAAGCTTGTAACAACCATTTCAAAATATAACTTGTTTCTTAAAAACACTGTGTCAAAGGTTGCCCTTATTAATACTGTTGTTATAAATTGGTAACATTTTCCTTGATAAACAAGGGAAACTCATTCACTACCTTGAACACATTCGTATCTCCTTGTAATTACTCTTCTTAGTCTCAACCACCCATATTAGTCACAACTTTATTCAGTCCCATCTCAGGTACAGAAAAGACTGGTCTTGGGCCTTGTGACTTGCATGGCCAATGGGCTGTCAGTCAATGTGACACAAGTAGAGAGAACACTTGTACAAAAAATGAGACTTGCGCTCTTGGAGCCCAGACACCATGGCTTCCAGAAGAAGCCATTCTAACTTACTGGTAGATGAAAGGCCATGTAAAGAAGCACCCTTCACTCTAGCCCACAAGGACCAACTTCCAGCTCTGTGAATGATACTACTTTGGATAGTGGGGCTTCAGTAGAGCACGGGCTCATTGAAGCAGCTGAATGAGTGACCCGAGTTAATATCATTTAGTGGGCTCTCCCTGGTGGCATAACGGGTTAAAGCACCACATTATGAAGCTCGCCACAACCACTGCAGCCCAAATTCGATCCCCAGCCAGGAAGGTGACCCACATGGTGTGGCAGACCTCTCCTGACCCACCTGCTGCTTCTCTCAGCAGTGTATTTCAGTTGATCTGCCTGTTCTGCTCCCCACTCTATCTCTGGTGAATCCTCTCACCCCCACACCTCTGGCCTGTACCCCAGTTCTTGTATGCATAAATAAATCTTTAAAAAATATAACACTTAGAACCAGAAAACCATTCCATTCAGTCCAGCTAGTTCACTGAATCATGTGAAGTAAATATGTGCTTTTTTTTTTCCCCCATAGAGTTTGGAGTCATTTGTTACAAGCAATAGATAAATGACACAATGAGTACATTTTGGTGTGCTCTCTTTCTCACAGAACTTATTTCTTGGTCATATTTGGTTCCCACCAAGACTCTTTTGAACTCTCATGCACTGCTGGTGGAAATCTGAAATGGAACATGGCACTTTGGAAAACACTTGGCAGTTTCTTACAAAACTAAAGAGACTCTTACCACAGGATACAGCCATTGGGCTCCTTGGTATTGACTCAAAGGAATGGAAAGCATATGCACACAAAACCTGCCAAATTTTGGAAGCCACCAAGATGTCCTTCAGTAGGTGAATAAAAACATAAACTAGAGAACAACCAGGTAATAGAAGATGATAGAGTTTATGGCTTTTCAAGCCATGGAGGAACCTTAAATTCATACCACTATGGGAAAGAAGCCAATTTGAAAAGTCTTCATACAATGTATGATTCCAAATCTATGACATTCTGGAAAAGGGAACACTAGACAGTAAAAAGATTGGTGGTTGCTAGAGATGGGTGGTGAGGAGAAGGATGAGTAAGCAGAGTCTAGGGGAATTTTTAAAAAAGATTTATTTATGCATACAGAACTGGGGTACAGGCCAGAGGTTCAGGAGCGGTGAGAGGATTCACCAGAGACAGAGTGGGGAGCAGAACAG